AAATACGAAAACACCAATAATGAAGTTGTAGATGAAAACCAGACGATTAATGTATGAAAAACTGGAAAAAAACGTCGGGGAGGGTCTTAGACAGGTACTCTCCCTCTGCCGCTCAGCAATGGATAAAGACGCACGTTGGACGAGTTGTCTGAACGTGCCCGCTGTAAACGCGCTCCATTTTTCAATCAATTTTCCCTGTGGTCCCAAAACGAGCACGATTGCCGACGCGTCCAATGACGGCCGGCAAGGGGGCGGGATTGGGGAAATCCCCAAGAACACCCATGTTTGAGGGACTTTCCACCCTGTTTTTGAGTTTCTGAGGTAAGTTCGTTTATTATTTCCACTGCATATGTTCTTCACTAGGGCTCGTGTATCCCTCAGTAGTAGTGGCATTGAAATTTTCGGACCCTCCCTGAACTGTTGCTTTAATAATACATCACCGGCGATTACAATCATTAGCACGTCTGGGATGGTTCCAGAAGTACCGGGTCCGTAGACGCTATACGCAGACAAAAATCATGGGCGGAAATACCAAAATCATAGGCATGACCCATTCCAGCAGCATTGAACAGTCCCAAGCATTTTATCGTTTCATGGCTTCGCCAGACTTTCAACATATCGCACATATGGACAAATTAATTTATTGATCAAATGGAGGTATGCAAAGACGAGGAACGTACACGAAGGGCATTGAACGATCTGGTGAAGAATTGTACATGTACAACAAGCGAGATAACAGCAGATACGAGCAAATAAAGGGGTTGTTACTATGAGTGAAATATGAGGACAATTAGGGCAACGTTAATATTCTCGAATTACTTCCCGAATCACTCACACTTCGCGCTCTCCTACTCTTTACAGTGCCGTACTGTATTCGAGGCGAATGACTTTGTATGATATTCCGGTAACAATTCTCGAATAAAAGATCAATAAGTTAGCCGATCGATGGCACTGCGCACTTTCAGAACGCTTGCAAATGTTGAACGGGGGTAAACTTCAAGAAGAAATGTCTATTCATTAAGACGGGGTCTATGTACCGGGGGGAAGGGACATGCGGTGCAATAGTTTGTGCCGCCTACAGTAATCCAATTTTTGAAAGAGCGAAGCTGAATTGAAAACGAAACATTTTACGCATTCCGGAGCTTTATTTCTCCTCCAAAACTGATTACTGTAGCGGGCACAAATTACTACACCACATGCCCCTCCCTCCTTTCGCACATGGACCCTATTAGATGTTTGGTTACGTATGGGGCTCAATAAATATGATATACATGTAACAATAAATGAATAATAAATAAATATAAATACAGAAAGGAGGTTAACATGAGAAAAAAAGATGTTCTAAATAGACATCGTCGATAGACACTACCCACCCTTAAGAGATAGAGAGACGGACGAAAGATGATCAAACGAATCAGTTAGATTAGATGAGATAGAGAAGGTAAAGAATTTGCACAAGCATAAGGAAAACAACTATCGTTACCGTTGTTGATTCAGCGCTTCGTGTAATAGAGAGCCCAGACGGTGCTGGACGTCTTTTTTCCACGCTTTTTGCTTTTTCACATGTCGATAGAAGTCTTCTAACAATGTGTGCGCTGTTGGTGCGTGCGGGTATAACGCAGACGCAGCAATCGCTGCGACTAGCAATTGATGAGCCTAAAAATATGTTTTCAGTAAAATCTACTCTGCCAAAACCATTCGATGTCACTCTTACCAGAGCATAATTAGGCTTAGGGTCTCATGCAATGCTGTGATATTTGGGTCTTATCACGGCAGTGACTCTTGAAATCGGGTTGACTCATGAGCCAAATGAGCGAGAGCAACGTTCGCGACAACCACCCGAACTTATGGTGCGGAGTCACTTGAAACCTCCCCTATCTCTGTTGCATTTTCTTTAAGCTATCGCTCCAAGGAAGCTACACCAGTGGAGAGAAACGCCGCAAACTTGAGGAGCTGCTAAACATACAGGGGGGGCCAAAAAAAAAAGACATTTTGCCTATGTCGGACTTCGGCTCTTTTTTCTTCGCAGAGATTGCTGTCGTTGACGGGAGTTCCTCAGCAGAGTATTCCCTAAGTGTTCCTCTATTAGTGTACGCAGGCTCTCCTTCACTGCCCTCACCGTCTTCAGAATATGACGTCATCTGTCACCGTCGTCAGGCTCAAGGAGGTCTACCGTAAGAGCTTCAGCCTGAAGCTCTTACGCAATTTCGTGAATCGATTTAATGTTGGATAGTTTTCTAGAGGCATTAGCTACCACTGTGCAAATCCCCTCGGAACTAGCTTTCCAGTAAGGGTCGTTATGGTACACGATCCTTCGAAGACCCCATTGAGATCGACCAGTGCACCATGTTTCCAGGGCTAATTCTTCTGATGCCGTCCACGTACGTGGCCACTATGAAGATTTTCTTATAGAATGGAATGCACTCTTTAATAATAAGTTGGAACCGTTCGGTCTGAGTTGAGTAAAATGTGCTTAAATCCATCTGGAAGTGGAGGCAAAATGTCTTTTTTTTTTGGCCCCCCCCCTGTATGTGGCATGTGTCTTCACTTGAAATGAACCCATCGTTACGTCGCTCCTTCGACTATAAAGACGCATTGCGTTACGGATTACGTGACTACTTGAACTCTCCCCTATGTTCTCTGCCGAGAAAGGCCAGAGCACAGACGATTAGAGCAACGGTGCCTGGCTCGGCTTCAAATCTCAACCAAGAAGGTGAGAGCCGCGGGACTAAGCCTTGAAGGTAGAGGGACTCCGTAGTGGATGAGCCAATTATATTGTGGCAAAGTTTGAATATGTTCGATCTCAGTAATCATAAGCCGCTGTTTAAGCGAGAGAGCGCAGGCGAGAGCGTCAAATCGAGGCGGTTTAAAGGGCTGAGTTCAAGTTGTCCGGTAGACCATTCGTTACGGGTCCCACTGCCTCCTGCTACAGTGAACCCTTCAATGTGGAGCGGGGAATCCGTGAGCCAGGGGCAGTGTCGCCAGTCTAGGGGGGTGGGGGGTGAGGGCAGACACTTGACATGCGTGAGAAGCTGGAATGTTCGAATTCAACCGCGATCACATGGGATCCCCGCGGGTTAAGGCAGTGGGTCCCGCAACGAATGGCGCCCTATACTAGTCAGTAGGAGTACATGCTATACTCAAGCAGTCCACCTCCAGAATTCAAACCATGCCTGGCACCTAGCACGCTTGCCCCTTGCTTCCGCACGCCACATGCTTAAGACCTGTCTGAAAAACTAAGAAACTTGCCCCTTCTGGCAACTTGAATGAGCAAAAATGTCCACAAGTAAAACTGAATTAAACATCAGCGAAAAATTCGCGACGAAATTGGAAGCAAAGAAAGATCACTCACATCCTCCATATCACTGCTATTGAATCGATTATGGCTGAGTTTCACACCAGCAGCTGCGTAAAACTGTTCAATACATCGTTCGTACAATTCAGCTGTGGACGGATGAGCATAGGTTTGGAGCATTACCGCTCGTGCCTGAAAGGAATAAAATAGGATATGATACCTTCGTACCGCTCTCAAAGGCTCACATGAAACCAGCTGAACTTTCTCCGATGTACAAAAGGAAGGATTTCAAATTGTCAAGTCAACTAACCCTTCCGGCTACGTGAGCAAACGCTTTGCTTGAATGGCTAGGCTGTGGTGGCGGTACCGAGCGATTGATTGGCGGCATGGAGTACTGTTGGTGATAAGGTGGAAGGCGGCTAAAAAAGATCTTCAAGGTAATAGTTCTTCCGGCTACACCACAAACAAATAAAAACTGGGTTTTTACGATAGATTTGCTATAACGTGACATTTTATGGATTTGTGCATGGTATCGTAGCCTTTATTAAGAACAAAAAACTAAAAACAATACATAAGGGTCCGACAGCGACGGACGGAGTGCGGGCAGAAGCGCGAGTCGTTGAAAGGGACGGGAAAGGCTCTAACGGACCACTACAAGAGGATCCTTCCCCATTAACTTCCTTTACTTCCTTGAAGGCACGAGATTCTTTTATAGTGAGCTTATTTGCCCTTGCTTAACACAACTACTCTGGCTATGTGTGTGGGCTCGTGCGGTGCAGTAGCGTAAGTGCCAAACTTTTGGTGAAGCAACTTCATACACGCTGGGCAACCTAACTATGCCGAGATTTTGTTGATGTCTTGTTCTTCACGCGCGTTGCTTTAACATGACATTTTTGGGCCCCACCAAACGCTTATGTACTTTTTAGTGTGGGCGTCTTAAAAATTAGATTCCCTTTTCTTACACCTCGTTTTCCTATACACCTCCCACAAAGGACACCGCTTTAGCAGCTTTTTGGCCCCTACAGATCCAAAAAAAATCGCAGTTCTCGAAAACGCTGATTTCTGGCGCCGAAGTATTCCAAAATCTAGCTATTGTACTCAAGAATCCAAAAATAGGATAAAGGATACGGAAAAAAAGGTAAAGGATACGGATGCTTAGACAGGTTTCAGGTCAATACGTATTGGTTGCATTCAACGACGCAGAAAAAAAATATTACCACGCACATAGCATGCACGAATCCAGAACAAAATCCAGAACTCACGTATTTGCCTCCATAGCGAACTGGAAAAGTAAGAACGGCGCGCGGCCGAACGGGGCGGGGGCGCCGCCGGCGGCGGGGGCGGGGGGCGCGCGGGCGCGGGGCGGGCCGCGGCGGGGCGGGGGTGGGGCGGGGGCCGCGACAGCGGCTTTTGCAACGGTATACGTCAAGGAAAGTGGACAAAGTAAGGCTTCCAGCGTGGACCGGATATTGTGAGACAACTCGGAGTATACCTCGGCAAATGGCCGGGGGCTGTCTTAAGGACTAGATGTGGCGATCAAAACGGCAATTACAAGACTTTCAGAGTAACTCACTTGGGAATATTTGCTATACTGCCGGGTTTCATCGTTGGCACTGGCTGCCATTGTGGCAAGTTATACGAAATGCCAACGCGGTGGGCATTCACGAGACGTGGCCGTGTTCCGATCCCAACTGTGCGCCAGGCCGTGAACCAGACAACTGAGGCGCTGACTGGCTCTGGATGCAATCGCCCTATTTCATTCGCCAACAGATACAGAAAGACTGTTACTCGTGCTGGGCCTGGCTGAAATGTAACAAGATACGAAAGGAATTTGTCTTCTTATTTCAAACTGACCCCAAAATCGACAGACAATCTCCTTCTGGTACGCGGTGGATGGCTTGAAAAAGGCAATCTCGTGTGAAGGGTCTCTTGTGAATTATGCTGATAGTAAAATTGTTGTTGTTGAGCATGAGTAGAGGGCTAAATTCAGCTTTTCATAAGGTTTTAATGCCAATAAACAATGATTGATCACCTACAAGGTTAAAATATTGTTGATGTTGGTTATTGGAGTTAAATGGTACAGCCTGAGATCCAGCTTGATTCTGGTGCTGCTGTTGATGTACAGTTGGATGATCGAGCTCATAGTGTAAGTCGTGCCAGTACCGTGCTACTCGGAATAAGACATCAGCAAACACGATTTCTTGATTGGCAGCCTAAAAAACTATGAATTAGGAAAACAGCAAGAGATAAGACTTCATGAAACCTTACAAAGCAAAGAGGAAGAATAGGAGAACCGTGACACGCACCTCTTCAATGTCTAGCGCGACAAGCACTTCAGAAGTGCAGCTTCCTCCTTGTTCGCGACATTGTAGGAGAGCACGTTGCGTTTCAGCTGCGCTTAGGGTATAGGCGTACGGTAACACCGAGAGTGCCAGTCTGGCAGCTTCTTCCACTACAGCAGGATCACGTGATTGACCAGCCTAGAAAAAATCAACTCAAAACGCGTATTGGATTCAAGTTCCACAACAAAAGTTCAAATGCAGAAAAGAGCCAAAAAAAACAAACTCGAGAGCGATTTTTGAAAGAGCCGAAAGTAAAGCTTGAGGGAAAGGTGTGGGAGGAGAAATTAGCGAAAGAGTGAACGAAAAAAACACAGGGTCTACTCACTGTCATATGGAACTATGGACATTGCAGGGACGGGGACAGATCAATGAAGTTTTAGAACACTTGTTCGGCAAGGTTACAAAAAAACATGATTTTCACGTCTGTGTTCTATTACAATTAGTATTACACAATCGATATTGCTGTCGATGTAGACTGAAAAAATACTACGGCACAGAACTCAGCATACGCAATAGCAAAAACTTACTTTGTCAGGCCAATCCCGCAGCTTCGGAAGGCGTTCAAATGGGTGGACACGTTTCAGACCATTTCATCGCCATAAGTCTGAAAACAATAACTGTCGCTCAACAAAATTGCTACATTTTCACCGAATCGTACCGAGTTCAGAAGCCTGCAAGTTAATCCACGAAACATGTGTGCTGTACGTCCTCGATCTCCAACTCGTACACACTTGATTGTGCAGACCAATAGCATACATACCAATCAAAAACGCGCACATGTGCAGTTTCCGATTGGACGCTAAAAAATTAGGTTGTTGTCGCTTTTGTTTGATTTTTGTTTTACATTATGCCAGCTTGATAGAATCTCTTTCTAAACTCCGGATGAATCGGATCACAAAGCTTTTGATGTTTCCCAAGATTCGCATGTAAAAACAACAAATAAGTGTAAAAAAATGGAAAGGTCCATCAATCATTGAAAAGAAGAGCTTCGAATGAACACTTTTGGCTTTTTTCTTATAAATACTAGACAGAAAAATAAGTTGTCAATATATACAGCTGATAACATACCTAGAGGACTCTGCCCAATTGGAGCAAAGACAACGGAGCTTTGACTTCCTCCTGCCTCCGTTAACACCCGCTTTGCTAACTCATGCATATAATGAGCATGTGCTTCCGTGGTACACGATACTGGTACTAATCGGCCTCTAAAAAGGTATTTTAAAACTACATGTCTATAGCACAAACTGAACACATAACATAACAAAACTAACTTGGCCTTGCTACCAGTGGGCTTCGATGACGCCGGTGGATCGCTGGTTTCAGGTAATAACAGATGCAGAGGTAGGAGTGCTGCGTATACTTTCATTGCCCTCATCAGAAGAGTGCCTCGAGCTGTAAATGACCACTATCAGGGTACAAAGTCGATATAGCGCGAGCTGATTTTTAAGCTGACTTCTTAACGAAGCCTGGTACGTCGACCTACCTTGTCGCGAGTGACTGCATTTGCTCCGAGATACATTCTACTTCTTCATCAAAAGCGCTGTTCTTTGAGTCAGCCGACTGCAGTGAAACAGATCTACAATATCCACTTGATCTCAATGT